CACACACACACACACACACACACACACACACACATGCATGAACACACACCATTTGGAGAGCAGAAGTTCTCAAAATAAACCAAATATCCAAATACACACACACACATAGTTCCCCATCACAGATTTTATACAGACAGACAGGTGATGAGCTGCTGGAACGGACCGCTCTGCAGAAAGCAATGATGATAATGCAGATAATGATGCCATGCTGTGGTAAGGGCCAGGATATCAAGACCTCGAATGCATCTCCATAAAGTAAATGGAGATAAATGTGATAAGAGAAGGTCACAGGGGAATGAGCTTAAGTGCAGATGGCATCCAGCAAGAACGGCGGCCCCAAATTCTTTGGTTAAATCTGCAGGGGCATGCAGTAATTGATGATTGTCATTATTGTCAACAGAAGAATTGGTGTAATTTCAACAACAACAGAAAAAAGTTTTAAATATAAAACGACAAGAAGGGAACATGCAGCCACAAGGTGGAGCTCCATGACAACTGTGTCTTCATCATGCTGACAAAATGAAGCGCTTCAGCTTGGTCCAAAGATCTCCCAGCGGACAAATACTGAACTTGTGCTGACTGACAACTGAGTCAGTGCAGAGACAATCAGATTACAGCATATAATGACTTAGATGTGACACCCCACTAATACACATCCTCCTCAGCTTTGGCTGCCAGCACTGAGAGCGGACGCAACTTACTCACAGACAGACACAGTACCACTACTGACAAAATAAAGACTTGATATATTAAAATAAACTGATAATCACACATGCCAGAGTTTTAAAAGGATGCATTAGTGCGGGAGACGACAGTGATGGGGACAAGTTAAAAAAAGGAATTAAGAAAAGTGAAGAAGTGATATTAAAATCTGCTTATCCTTGTGAAAAAACCCTACATTCGTTACTACAATGTGATAGGAAGTAATTTGTCATTATCAGTGTGCATATAATTTTGTCTATTTAATGAAAAGACCATAATTATAATTTACCAGACACCAGTAAAGCTGACAATACACAGAACATCAATATAGAGCAGAAGGAAAAAGCATATACATTATGGATATGCATAGAGTGTGACCAACGAGTGTGTGTGTGTTAGAGAATACACAACAGTGTGCTCTCAGAGCTATGCGAGTACAGAGACGCGAGCACTAATATGTGGACAGATACAGTCCAATCAACCAAAATAAAAAGATTACCAGGCTACGCGGTGCGATTAGGAGTGTGTGTGAGAGCGATAGAGCGTCAGAAAGGAAAGAAAGACAAAGCGGGGGGAGGCAGACAGACGCAGAGTGAGTGCAGAACAGAGATAGTAATGGGCCTCATTACTAAAAAATGGGACAGGCATTCGACTGAATCCCCTGCATGCACAGTTCTGCAAAAGTATTCTCCTGGTACAAAGAAAGGCTCTGTGCATGGAAGCAAATTTAGGGCAGTATCCGTGACTTCTAAGTACTTTCGAAAGAGGCCCATCTAATTCTGAAGTCATAGAAAAAGTTCCCCTTTCTAGCTGTCTGCGTCACCTTGACCAGCACCACAGAAAGTCATCAGCTCCAAACATAGAAGGTAGAGTAATGAGACCCCATTGCAGAATAAAATCTCAATATGTTTTGCAGATTATCACCCTATCAACAATAGGACTGTAATATTAGATCAATTTAGACAATATCAGTGAACATCAGGGATGTGATGGCAGCTAATGAAACAGGTTTTTTTGCTGTAAATATTTGGGTTAGGTTAGTTTGAAAACTTCAAGCTTTCCAACAATACATTCCTATAGACAGGGGTGCACATAAGTGATTCGCAGGTGTGCATGCGCTGTCAAAACAAAAGATGCCCACCAGATAAGAAGTTGCAACACGCGTTTGCGTACATAAGATTTTCTGGAGGGGGACAGCTGGCTTCAAACAAATGCCAGCTCACCTCCTGCAACCACTTTTCTGAGAATACGTGCTTCTTTTGCAGTCCGGACTCCTTCTGACATTTCTCTGGAGGTTGAGGAACACCAAAGTAATTGCTTAAAGGAGCTTCTTTGACATCTTTACCTCTAAACAAATGTGTGTCCTCCTCCAGAAAATCCTATGTACGCAGACGCGCGTTGCAACTTCTTATCTGGTGCGTGTCTTTTGTTTTGACAGCGCATGTGCACCTGCGGACCACTTATGTGCACCATCTTGACTTTCAGTTTACTACGTTTTCTGCTGTTTTAAAACAAAATCTGCTTTTAATAGCTGAAGAATAACACATCTTTTTCATATTCCGGCAACTCAAAGCATTTGGAAAATATTGTGGTCTTGGTTAAATACTGAAAAGACCAACCAGGGCTGGAGGGATGAATATGTTTATTTTACTAATGTGAGCCACAACTGCATAGCCCTTCTCAAAATGGTTTTGTGGCCTAAAACTAACAACACACAGTGATCAGAACGTGAACCACACCCTGCAACTCTGGAATCAATTTTAACATGTTGCTTAATGGAAAAAAACAAAAAACAATCCAACAAAACACTGCTGTGTATATACCTAATAATAGGAATTATACCAAATTATTAAGGGAGACCCATGATGCTCACTTCCGCCTACTTTACTAGAGTAGCTTTGCATGATTCACAGGGACAATAGTCCTGATTTATACAACACTGAACCTTGGTGCAACCCCTCAGTTCGTCTGCTGTCTGAAAAAAGCTCTTTCAGCTCCCTTCTTTAATGACCTTTAAGTCAACTTTCTCCTGATTGGCTGTCTCTCTTAAACTGGTTTGAACATCAGGTTCAACATGTGTCTGAAGTGACCCTTTGGTAGAGAGTCAAGAGCGCATAAAAACTATGAAAAAAGCAGCATTCATGCTCATGTATCATTTTGCCCGTATAAATACAGAAAAGCATTATAGATACTGCAAACATGACAAAATCCTGAGCTGTCATGTGAGGCATTAGCAACTGACTCATGCATGAATATATACAGTGCTAGCTTCAGGTATGACACTATGTTTGTCTGTGTTGTAGAGTCAAAGTCACAGAGACAGGCGGCCAGGGTTAGTTACCTGAGCAGGCGTGATGTGTGTATGAGTGACATATCCATGAACGTGTTGAATCTGAGATAGCTGACGCTCCGCCACCTGAACCAGCTCCGCTCCCCGGAGGTCATTGTGGCGACCGAGAGAGCCGTCCCTCCCCAGTGACCGTTCCCTTTCTCTCTCCATGGTTCCAGCACTCCCTTCATCTCTCCTCCAGGTTCCTCCCTCCCTACCCAGGGTCCCTCCATCCCTCCCCAGGGTACTTCCTTCCCTCAGCTCTCTGGCTACTCCCATTTGGTGATGCTGGCAGGGGTGATGGTGGAGTTTTGGGGCACCTGGTGATGCCCCTTCCTCTTCTTGACACCGATACTTCTACAGTCAGAATGGAGGGGAAAAAATGCGAGGAGGGAGGAAACCAGAGGGAAATTCGAAGGAAAAGCAAGTAAGGGCAAGGAAAAGACCCCCAGAGACACAGGAGCAACAGGGCAGAAATGGTTGGAAAGATGGAATATAGTAAGATGGGATAAAAGGAGGAGAAAAAAGGAAAAAGAGGAAGAAAGAGATTAAGTTTGAAGACAAGTTCAGAAGCAGAAAAGCTTCAGTAAAGCTGGAAAAGAAGAAAGCATTAGTGCAAATCCACAACCAGAATAAAAAAGCATAGCAGAGCACGAGTGTGCGTGCACACATGCATGTGTAATGAGATGTTTTTGTAGTACAGTTTGTGTGTGTAAGCACATGGCCCAGTCCAGGTGTACACTCAGCATGGGAGTAATTGTTTCCTGAGCTTTCCATATCATACATATGAATGTGAGCACACACACACACACACACACACACACACACACACACACATTTAGAGGAAAGAACAGAAGTTTGCTGGCAAAATAAGATGCAAAACTGAATAAGGACAGTGAGTAGTAGACTGACTGCCTCAGGGAAAAACTGTTTCTTTCTATCCTTGTCATCGCTCTATACCTTCATCACGCCTCTATGCCTTCCACATCTATGACTCTCACTGCACAAAGTCTTATGAGTTTCTCTCCTTGCTCTGATTCCACATTCCCACACACTCTCACTGGCTTCCTTTAAATCTTTTTTTTTAAAGTATTTGATGATGTTTCTGCCTAACTGGACAGAGTAAAGCAGAGGGAGTTGGTGAAGCATGTGGGGGAGGGATGCCGGGTCCTTTGCTAGTTTTTGAATCTATGACAGTTTGTGTATACTGTGTAAAAACTGAGCCAGCTGAGCAGCAAGAAAAGGGACACGCTCCTGTACACTGATTAGGTGGATCTGGCTAAAATCCTTTATCACTCATTAATTTTGCTGTTAAAATCTAAACCAACCGCAAAAAGAAGATACTGATAAAGAGGCACAAATGGGTTTTAAAGCTTCAAGACAAATGGAACTTGAATCCTCCGATCATATCATGATAACAGAGTAATTTCAGCTAATATAGCAAGTCAAGTCAAAAACAAATAATCTAAATAGAATCTAGTTCCACATAATATATTATGGGCTTTGGACTCGCAGCTTGAGCCAAACCCTGGTGTGAAATTGAAGTCAGAATGGATTGCATACAGTGTGAAAAGCTCCTTTAAGAGGTTTGTTGCTCTCCCAGGGTAGACTACTTGGCAGCTAACTGCATGCAGACTCAGTGTACTGCTCCTATAGCAAGACATACACCAGTTGAGAAGTTTACAAATGGCATGTCTAAAGGCAAGAATGGGCACATTTAATATATCAGAGTTTTCTCTGATATATTAAATGTGCCCATTCTTGCCTCCACAGGGGCAGGAAAGACGCTTGTTTGACTCTTATTTTCTCTCTACTTCTGACTGACATGCTTTTGGTCTTAGCCGTCAGCACATTTCTGTTCACTTCCACCAACCATTAACGCTGCAGTCTTTCAAGACTCATACAAAATACTTTAAAAAGTGTTAATTTTTAACTCCACATATTTATTCTGGCCCTCAAATATTTCTGATGTACTGCACTTCTGTGTTGGCTTTATTTTTCAAACCAGGAAGTTACATACACCTTTTACACTTTTTGCTGAAACCTATGCTTTTGGCAGCTGACATATGCTGACCATATTATTTCTATTTTTGTCCAAGTTTAATATGTATATCACTGCTGTGATAGTGGTGAGGTAGAGAGCGTACAGCCCGATCCGGTGGGGAGGTGTGGGATGCCAGATCGGGCGCCCCCCTTCCGGCTCTCCTCTCTGCTCTCCTATCTTGTCACTTTTTTCTTACTTCCTTCTATCACCTCTTCTATCCCTGTGAAGAAGTGAGGCTTCATAAATATTAAAGAGGTAAGTATTATTTCTCAGTTGCAGTGAATTGATAGAAGAAAATAAATTGTAGAAAACTAAACAGAAGAAAGTAGAAGAGAAATAACAATTTAACATAAATCAGTGACGCACTCCAGGGCCTGGTCAACCCTGGCAGGGCTTCCTTGGATGAGGGTGTCTAGTGATAATGGTCGAAACACCCGTTGAATTCAAGGTCTACTACTGACGATGTGTCTCAGTTTTTAATAAGATAATCTAGATCAGATCTCTAATCCCTAAACATAACCAAGGAAAGTTAAAAATGGCAGATTAGCTTGGGATGAAGGACTCAAATACCCTGTGAAGTTGAGGCACACAACGATGTGTCCCATTGGTGAAGTTTCTGGGCTGCCTTTCCTCACAACAGCCAACGATCAGGGATCGTAGCATCAAGTCCTTTTACTGAATCAGAACTAAAGTTATACATCTCACAGAAAATAAGGAAGATTGTGAGAGTTCCTGTTAAGGCTCTGTCCGAATCTAGGAGCTAGGTACCACAAATGTGAAATAGAGTTAAATCTTTATCTCTGTTCTTGAATTTTGGGACAGAACATTCGCCCGAAATATCATAATTAAGTTGAGTTATGTTTTTCTGGGTTTGTATTATTTAGGATTAAGTCGGTCTGAGAAGACAGAAAATTGCTGTTTGCTTGTGTTTATGTGTTTTGTCCTTGGAATAAACCGTAATAAACCCAAAGAGATCCAGTTGGCATGTTGCCTTCGTTTTCAAACTCTCAAGACTTCAACGACATAGATGAGAAAGAACCTACACAGAGACAGAGAGTTGTCTTTATTTTGTCTTGTCTCACTGTCTTGATTGTCGTCACTGGTTTCTTGTTTTCTTGTTACCCAGCTGTTTCCACTCTCTGTGTTAGCTCTCAGTGGTCATTGTATAAATAGCTGTGCCTTTTCATTTGTCCCTCTTTACTGTGTACCTGCTTGTCTGTGTCCCATATGTTTTCCAGATCTTTGTTATGTTGTTTTCTGAGCCCTGTTTGCATTTGCTTTTAACCTGTTAGCAGTCGGACGTACCGCCCACGGTACATTGGATGGTTTAGGGGACTAATTGGACTGCTAAGGGGTTAACTCTGTCTCACCATATCTTGCATTGAGGTCTTGACGTACTGAAAGGCAAAAAAAGGTGAGTGGGACATTTTATCTACTAATATATAAGAATACAATAAGCTAGGCTGCTAAGCTTAGCAGCTAAGACAGCAAAGAGAAAGCACTAAGAGTTTCCTTAGACTTAAACTTCTTGTTAAAGTTTTGGTGATGAATATATGGCACCCAGAATAATAACCATACAGTTTGAGGGAGATAGGTTAGAAATGGCTTTAGGTTGGGCATTTGGATAATGCTCTATGTCAATACAATGTCGTAGTAAACTACAGGAACAAGTGTGACTGTGTGATTTATTGTAGAGCTCCCACTGTGACTCTACAGTAACTACACAGCCCACAGTGCTAATTAAACTTCTTTCCCAAGAGAGTATTTTAGACAGTTTGTGCAGATCTGAGCACACTGTTAAAAACTGTTACTATGAATTATTCAGTATCAAATCTGATATACTCCTAATTCAACAGACTAAACATTAGTTCATTCAAGAAATGTAACCAATACATTAACACACCGATTATAACAACTATTAGCTGACAAGGGCTCATCAGCGCACTAAAGCACTATCACTACATTTGACCCTCCAGCTGACTGCCATCTTGGTCAGCAACAAGATGCCAAATCTATTCTGGATATTGTGTTCAGAGGCTGTGAGTGGGTGGCTGCTTTTCACAGGAGAGCACAGAACAGTATCAGCTAATTTCTGAGAATTCAAATGGACAAGGCTGTGTGTATGTGTGCGCCCTGTCTTGTACACCCCCCCTTACATACTTTAACCTCATTTACACCAGGACAAGGACTAAACACCGTTGTGATCTAACTCGATCTCAAGACTTTCAGCATATTTCATTTCCTCTCCAGCGCTTGCTAAGATCTTCTTGCTAATTAGTCAGAAATGCCTCAGAATGCTCCTGAAAGCAGCGTCTGAACAGCCAGGCGCTAAGACCATGAAGAGGCTCTGGCTCACACTGTTGTCACAACACTGCCTCTACTGCCCTCTGCACTCGCGCACACACATACTCAGTCATAATCCTATATTCTGTGTTTTTATTTTTCGCATGGCACAAGAACACCTCTGAATGAATGGATGCATGAATGAACAGAGACACCAAATAGGTCTCTTTTCACATCAGTGTGTGGGTTTCTGGCTGCTTGGCTATTAGCAGCTGAGCATTCCTAATCAGGACTAGGACTGTGCCCGCAGAAAGCCCGCTGACCACACACACATACACACACAGAAGCAGAAAGACAGGCGTGCGCACTGAGACTGTCATGTGTTAGTGTGTCAGCCAGTCTTGCATAGCCAGAAAAACGTGACTAGATAGGGAGCAGATTCAGCATCCTAGTACATGTTTATGTGTTAGTTTGTGTGTGTTTGAGTGTGAGTGTGTGCGCGTGTATGTGCGCAGCGTAAAGCCAGGCATTAGTCACGCTTGGTGAGATATGAAAGAGCAGGGGATCCTCTGCCGTAAGGAACTTCTCACACACACATGTGCCTTCATCCTTCTCTCTTTTCTCCCACATCTCGCTCTCTCTCTAATAGTTCACTGGAATCAAGCATAAAGCAATTATTTCCAGAGAAAAGGTGATGACCACACTGATTTATCAACAAAGGCAGCAAGAGAACAAATGGTTAAACAAAATGTTACTCGATCAATAAATCAATGGATACATTTGTCAAAGAAATTGCTTTTTCTCAGCTTGTACAACAATTATGACAGCTTACAAATGATTTTCTATCCGCACACTATTGATATATTTTCAATAGCCTCTGATAAAAATGTAATTATTATGAACAACATGAATATGAAGCAAAAATTATACTATTGAAAGCCTCAATGGCATTAAGAGGAGAACTGAATAAAAACACATGATGAAATTAAGCATGCAGCTGAGAAGGTAAAGTAACATTAGCTGCTGTTTA